CCATTCATGTATAAAATATATGCAGTGAGACAACACATTTTTTATATGACAGTTTAGAAATTACCAGTTTATAGAATCTTTGCTCCAAAGACTCCTACTGTCTACCTTCACCCTGAATCCTCCTTTAGTCATGTACTTTAAGCTTTAAACTCTAAGTACACCACAGGGGATGGAGTGTTCCATAGTCTGTTTATATTTATCTTACCGAATAATCAAATGCAAGAACAGCAATGTTTTTAGATTTCTGCTATCAGCTATAGCAAAATTCCACATATACATTGCAACATTAGTAGAAGTGCTTTGTAGATTTGGTCGATTTTTTTTTAACTAAGAGAATTTGATCGTTCTTCTTAAGTTCTTTCTAACCATATTTACCCAAAATAGTATTCCTCCTTCATATTTGACTAAGATAATTTCATTTTATATCTAAATACTTTTGAAAGGTACCTGAGGTATGTAACAAATTTGTTCATATGGATTTTTATCTTTATTACATTTGTTAAGGAGGTCAGACACAGTGTGAGGTAAACTTAATCTGTTTCCTTACCACAATATATTTTATAATTCATACCCAGGACAATGTCTTCAGGATTGTACACTTGTAAATTTGACTAAGATCCATGTATAAGAATGTCACTGAAAACAGTAGAATACAGAATTTTATGTGAATAAAAAATATATTTATAAATATTTGAGTTTGTGTATTAAAATGCACCTGTGTTACTAATCAGATACTCAAGAAACTGGTGGCTTCCAAAGTGCTAGTTTCTCCAAAACTGTATTTGAAAAACAATAAAATTAAAAATAAGAATATTAAGATATTAAGGAATGATCAATAGTGTGCAGTATTTTAATAATTATCAAAAACATACGTTTATAATTATAAAATTCTATTTATGAAGTCCTAAATTAAAACAATAACTTCAACTTTAATTAATTTATTTTAATTCACATTAAAGTACATAATAAAAAAGAAAAGAAAATTTTTTCAAGAAAAGTTATTCTAATAAAACGATTACAAGAAGTTTGGTAACTTGAGATGCTATTTTGGAATGTATGCTACTAGTTCAAATGTGCAAGCTCCAACTTAACAAATGTTTAAAATATTTGAGTTTTTAAAACAGCGCCAAAATAAACCACATCTTTTCTAGAGATGACATATTTAACTAAGCAAGAGCAATATAAATCTTTCAACTATTCTATGTACTTGTTTAAAAGCCTCAGAAACCACGTGCATTTCCAATAAAAAATGAACAAAACACTGAAACCACTGGAGCCTAACAGTTGACTTTAAATCAAATTTTTAAAAAGACAAATGTATTCTTTTTGGTGTGTGTATGTATCTGTGTATATATATGTAGATATAGATATAGTATATAGATCTGTAAATAGATATGGATTGATATATAAAAAATAGGTTAGTCATAAATAATAATTATTAACAACACAGTAGTATATGTAAAAAAGTAGTATCTTAAATACAGTTACATGCAAACCATACGTAAGAGGATAAAATATGTAAGCCATGGCTTTTATCATATCATGCCTCATTAAGCATGACTATTTGAAAATAGAAATTAAAAAAACTACATATAAAAATGCTTTTCTATGCAACTATATGCAATATAAGACCTACAAAACTTTCATATTCTAACTTTTTTGCAAAATAAACTAATTCTATCAGTACTTGACCTGATAAGAAGTTTCCTCAGTTTATTTGAATAAGAAGATATACAAAGGATCAACTATGTCATTTCAAAAAATAAGCAAAATATTTCATTAGATACTATATTGAAATATTTTAAATAGAAAAATTTTTTAATGACTTATTTGTAAAAGCAGAATCAAAATTTCCCATATATTAACTAATAACCTTGCTATAATTGCTTATACCTTACTTATAACTAATAACCCCACTTATAACTTGGTTATAATTGGTTTTATCTCTAACAGTTGCTCTAGGAGGTAGAGTGAGCCTTGAAGTTTAAACTACCATTTTATAAAACTATACCATCAGGTTTTAACATCAAGCCAAATTAAAAATAGTCAAAGAAACTCAAGGTTATTTTTTATTAACAATAAATTTTTATAATATTTATAATTAGTGGCTTTAAGGGAAAGCATGCTGCTAGTAAAACACTAAAGAGGTAGTAATAATATGATGCTATTTACACATACAGATTATTGTACTTCATTGAAAGTACATACAAGCTCTTCACTGTTAGATAATTGACATCTATGCATATAAAAGAAATAGAACAATGATAACAGTAATTACAAAAGTTAAAATCTTTGCTTTTTTTTTTTTTTTGCCACTAGAAAGGCTTGGAGACCTACAGTTGCATGGAATTTAGTCATAGACCTCAGCTGTAAGTCTAGCCAATTGGCAAGTTCCTAGCCTCTCTGAGTCTGTTCATTCACCTGTAAAATGGACATAATAACAATAATACTCAAATTATCATAATCATCAACATTATTACATGATTGATATATATTATTACTATTATATGGTTGTTGAGAGGATCAAATGAAAAAAAGGTGAAAGTACTTCGTAAATCAAGTGCTACAAACGTTAGTATTGTTTTCTGCCTTTACTTTGAACTAGTTATTTTTATAAGAAGTAGGTTCTCATGTTACTGTAAGGAATTAGACTTGACGTTTAAAGCAAACTCAAAGCAACATATCTGAGCAACGTGGAATACTTCTGAAGTTACATTAGCATCGAATCTGCAGAGAATCGATCTTCAGTGAACAAGATTATTTCTTCATACAAACCAGACTATTCTGAAATACTGTTGGTGGACATTTTCAAGTACAGGAAACCAATTAATGATAATATTAAGTTGTATTACTTTGCATTTGTAAATAACTCGCTTTCAAGCAAATGTGATATTTTTGGTAGATTACCTACATTGAGTGATAGTGGATGTTAGAAATATTTTGTAAAGTTAACTTTATGATATTAAATTCTATAAAAATTATTGTAGATATTGATTATAAGAATTGCTCTAATCTGATTATTTAAGTATGGAAAAAGATGCTTGAAAATTGTGAAGTGTTTTTATACAATACTTTGTGTTTTCCAAAGCCCAAAGCAAAGTAACTCAGGAAAGATCTGTACACTCTTTAGGACTAAAAAATTTAAGTTTACTTGTGATGTCTTTAAGAGGGTTCATGTATGGATGAATATTCTGTATTTTCTGAAAAGAACTGTTTTTCTACTTTCCTGCACATCCCAGATGACTTCACGTAGGGAACTGTTAGAGGTTTCAGTTAGAGCCCAAGAACAAGACTCCATGTGTGACCAAATAACATGTAATTACAAATGCCTTTATATTATCTAATTATCATAGTTTACAAAATCATTAAAAGAAAGGAATATGAGTAAATTCTAAATTCAAACTCAGTGGGATGGTTCCAACTGCCAGTTAATTTAACAGACACAGATTTAACGAGAAAGAAAACAGTTAGCATTATGATTCTTTTGTCACCTGTAAGAAAGCAACTTACGTTTTCCTGCAGAGTTAAAAAATTTCAAACCAACAAACTCCAATGGTATATGAAAGAATGGTGTAGTAAATTATTCTATCCTTGTCCTGAAAATGGGCAATGGTAGATAATTTAGCTCAATCTTAAAGATGAATTTAAAAAATAAATTTAAATAAATTTAAAAAATAAATTTTTCACTGGCCTACAACATTCTCACGGATTCAGTCTCTACCCATCTATCTCATCCTGTTCTAGGTACCGTCATTTCCTATTGGCCACTCATCTAATCAACCTAAAAAAAAATGAAGATATTTCTTCCTACAGCCAAATTCACAAAAATCTGTTTTATTCATACCTTCATATGATTAGAAGTGATCACTATGCCGTAACTATTTTAAGTTATCTCTTAAATAAAAGAAAAGGTAGGTAATCTAAACCAAGTTGCAGGCTTACCTTTTTTCTAAGTCCTTGTAATTTTACATTTTAATTTTATTATGTATTGGATTCCCCTATTCCACAACAAAAATTCAAATAATAATCTAAGTAACGATAATCACAAAGAATACTTACCTGGTTTGATGGCCTCTAATCTTTCAGGATAGAGGCATGCTAGCACATGGTAATTTTCAAACAAAAAGTGTCCTGGCCTATTGGACAG